ATACCATTATATGGGGGCTATACGAAGACGTGGACCTGCACAGACAATTTTCTGTCCTAGACTGTAATATCCATTACGAACTTCAAATACTAAATTTGAAACAATTCCGGTGAATAATGTAGCTAAAATCATCAAAATACCGAAAATGGGGGGTACCGTTATAAGGGGGCTATACAAAGACGTGAACCTTCACAGGCAATTTTCTGTCATAGGCTGTAGTATCCATTATGAATTTTAAATACCTAATTTCAAATAATTCCGGTGAATAAATAAAATCATCAAAGTACCAAATATCGGGAGGTACCAAAACGTGGACCTGCACAGACAATTTTCTGTTACAAGCTGTAGTATCCATTACGAATTTCAAATACGAAATTTGAAACAATTCCGGTGAATAATGTCGCTTACATCACCAAAATACCGAAAAAAGGGAGGTACAATTATATTGGGGCTATACCAAAACGTGGACCTGCATGGCCCATTTCCAATACTAAAAGTCCTGGAGACAAAATATACATTTGAGTAAAATTTGATCAATCTACTTTTTTCGTTCGGAACCTAGAGTGATTTTCACAGACGGACAGATGGACGGACATCGCAAAATCGACATAGATATTTATGCTGATCATGAATATATATATACTTTGTTTGTTGGGTAATTTTGTTAGGAGCTTGAAATATATAATCCACTTCAAAAATAAATCCGACCATTTGTTTTGTTCGAAGTCTCAGCAATAAATGGCAACGTTTTAATAAATCTGCACCGTACAAGTGGAATATATAGTTGCCAAATTATTGGTGGTTTGTTTTCTGTGGGGAATTCAACGGGTTATTGATATATTAGTTCCAAAAATAGATTCGACCATTTTTTGTTGGTCGAACTCCCAACAATAAATGGCAACGCTTAAATAAATCTACACTACTCACATATTATATCAAGTTGCCATGTTATTGGGCGCTCTCCAAAAAATAATGGAGAATTTAATTGATAATAAATATATTAATTCCAAAAATAAATCCGACCCATTTTTCCTATTTGGCCAAAATGCCATCAGTGAAGTGGCAACACTTTACAAAATCTACACTGCGCACATGCGTAGAACAAATGTCAGGCAAACGACGCATTTATGCAATTAGTGCAAATGTTCGATTTTTCCACTCAATTTTCATTTTTTCTTGTCGATGTTTTATTCTTTGTGTGTGTGTGTGCGTTTTTCTAATTCTTTAGAATTTCCGCTGGCAGTTGTTTTTTTGTTTTTGTTAAAGTCTGTTAAGATTCTAATTTATACGATTCATTTGTAATACGAGTTTAATTTGAGATTTGACAGATATAATTTTAACGCTTAATTATGTGTATCCGTCCGTTAATTTTGAGATTGTTTAAGAGTTACGTTGTCGTTGATTTGTCTCTTGGAAATTCTTTGAGCCACCAAATACTTTAAGAATGTGTGTGTGTGTGTGCGAATCACTTGTTTGGTCGATCGTTGTCGATACGATCGTTCGATCTGAACCATTCATGTGAATTACCTACCTCATTGAGCGTCGTTCAGCTAAGCGTGTACGTATGTCTGTGTGTGTGTGTGTTTGGTGCGTACGGCATGTGCTGCTGTGATTAGATTTCTTAGCAAATTGTTTCACTTTTGTGCGTAAATCCGTTTTTTGGCTTTTACTGTGCTCGTTGATGTTGTTGTTGCTGCTCTCATAGCTTTTAACGAGTTTTTTGTCGGTCTCAATGTTGCATTTGGCATTATGTTGGCTACAATGAGACCTTGACGATTTTTTTGCTGCTGCCGTTGTTGTTGTTGTTGTCTTAAGAGTAGATTATGTGGGTTAAGCTTAAGGGCTTTGAAATTTAGCAATACGATTTTGTTTAATTACGCAGAGTAATTGGTGAATTGTGTGATACAGCCGGTTTGTCAAATGTTACAGATTCTTTTCAACTCACTCGTAACTCATAGCGTTAATGGTAATAATAGTATTTTTTCGAGTATTCAAGCATAAATAATTACACAATAAAAAATATCAATTTTTAATTTTTTTGCTTAACACAGCGTATACAAAGTATGTCTTTCAAATTATATTGAAAAAATAAATTGCTTCAGCCCAAATTTGATAGGCACATGTGTCAACTTCCAGCAAAATATCTCAATTCTGAATGATTAAGTATATTTTATAAATATATGTACCTACAATACATTAGACTAACCCATTTCTTTACTTTGAAAACAGCTACTAAGAGCCGATAAAAATGTACAAAAGAAGAAAGGATCGTTCGTTTTTGCTGCAATTTTGAAGATCAGATGCGAAAATGGACAATATCGGCTCATCTATAAAGTACCTCTCCCACAAAGGGTCAAAATTTTGAATAATTATAATTCTTATGAAATTTAAGATAAGAGTCCGATCGTCTTATAATTTCGGGCATCTCAAAATTTTATCCATTCAAGATGTAGTGTGGAAATGAGATATACAGGTTCACAGGTTTTGCTCCAACTTTGCAAATCCTAATATTTACGTCAGTGCTAGGTCAGGTGCGAAAATGGACAATATCGGTCCACTCCATGAAGTACCTCACACACAAAGGCTAAACATTTTGAATTATCGTCTTTCATATAAAATGTGGAATAAGCGTCTCATAGTCTTCAAACTTCGCCAAACGCTATTCTATTACCAACACAAGATTTGGTATCAAAAACTGACAACGGGTCAAAATTATGAATCATTATGGCAGTCATAAAAGGCGAATGGGCATCCGGTTCTTTTCAAACGTTGCACATACTAATACTTCGACCTATATATTTCGTTTCATTGAGCCAAAATCATGCTACAATAATTACAAGTTTTAGCGCTAGAGTCTTGTAACTTCAAATTTCCACGAAGACGTGTACCTGCATAGGCAATAATGGGAATTGGATAAAATTGTGAATAAAACACCCAGAAAACCTTACATTTCTCGGTACAATTATATGAGGGTATACCTTTTCAATACCAAACCTTCTAACTAACATACATCTGAGCAAAATTTTTCAATCTACTTCATTTCTTTCGCAAGCTTCAGTTATTCCCACAAGCGGATGGATGGACATCGCTAAATCTATATGGAATTCTATGCTGATCAAGAATATATATATATATATATATATATATATATATATATATATATATATATATATATATATATATATATATATATATATATATATATATATATACATATATATATACATATATATATATATATATATATATATATATATATATATATATATATATATATATATAACTAGCTGGCCCGGTCCGCGTTGCCGGCCCATAATTTTAGTCTTTAATGCTATTATATCATCCACCTTGGAAAGGAGGGTATATTAACTTTTCATTCCATTTGTAACATCACTAAATGCTCGTCATAGACCCCATTAAATTTGCATATATATTCATAATCAGCATAAAACTCTAAGTCGCTTTGTCCGTCTGTATGTCTGTTTGTTCATATTACGATACAGCCCACATTATTTGAGGTATAGCGTCAAAATTTAGCCGAAAAATTTGTATTGTGTATAGGATGGTTGGTATTGAAAATGATCTATCGGTTCACGTTTTGGTATAGTCCCCATATAACGGTATCTCTCGAAATTCGGTATTTTGATGATTTTTGCCACATTTCTCCTCGGATTTGTCTAACACATATACGATACCTACCTATATTGGGTATGTTGATAATCCACACATTTACGCGTATAATTGTTTCAAATTTGGTATTTTAGAAGGTTTGATAGATGACAATCCTTGAAGTATAAAATTGTCCACAGAGGTTCCCGTTTTGGTATGGCCCCATATAACGTTCAATGAACTTTATGGTTTACTTTATGGTTTTTTGATAAGTTAACTGCATTACTCAAACAGTCTTACTGATATATGAAGTTTAAAGTGAAACACGCTTGAATTTAGATACTTTTATATAAAAATGTTTCCTTTACCCTCAGATGGATGGTAGTAATAATTCTGCCCGGCCGAACTTAATTTTTTTACTTGTTTTTAAAGTAATATGAATTATTTGTCATTGAAATTGCGCGTTGGAGACCCCATAATTTCCATATCTTTTATCATAGTATAATTCAAAGACGATTAAACAAATGTCCGGTTCCTTAAATCATATGATGGTTATACAAAACGTGATCAGTTTTTGCATGGATGGTTTCTTCCCAAATTACCAACATTTACCGAAAATAGTATGAAAATATGGTTAAAATGTAACATATACTTGAAATCGGGTTGTATCCTTATCCAGAGATATGGCCCATATCATGAACTGCAAAAGTGATTTAAGGTATCGTTTGGGAAGAATTTCTGAAAGAATAGAAATCCTTTTCCCTTTATATTCGGTATTTCACTGATTGCAGTCCCAATGAATTTTGCACATTGAGTTCTATCATCCAAAATTTAATATTCGGCATTCTATTTATTTTTTTCATTAAACGATATTTTTAACAGTATTTCCTTAGAAGATTGGTATTGAAAATGAGCTATATTAATCCGCATTTAGGTGTATTCTCCATACAGCGTTATCTCCGGATTTTCCATATTATTAAGTCTATTTAAGTCTCAATTACCATTCAAATTAGCTCAAATTTGATATTTATGGTTCTTTGCAAAAAATTGGTATAACCCGATATAACAGTGCCTATTCTTCTTAGGTATTTTTGGTATCTCAGCTTCTTTATGTTTAGATAATACTTCGCAATAACTTTCAAATTTTAGTGATTTTCAAGATATTTGCCTTAGCCATAAATTGTACATGACGGGAGGTATCAAAAATGTTTCAAAAAAGTTAATTTCACGTTTTTTCTGTTTTACATAGTAATATATGTTGTGAACTGTTTTTAAATACAAACTGACAGAATTTTACATTAACCTATTAAGAAGGGATATTTCAAGGAATCAGTGTTCCGTTATATACAACTACAAGAGAAGTACTATTACAAACCAATTTGGTTACCTACCTGAGCCAATGTTGCCACTGTCAAGCCGAATGTGAATGCAATTTGTGGTATGGATGGACTCCATTCTGAGCCACCTGTACAACTGCCAACACCAATGACCACCAAAAAGAAGGTGCCGATAAGTTCGGCCATCAACTGTCGCCAGATCTTTTTGTTGTCTGTGATATCTTTAACACCAACTACGGCCGACATGTCTGAAATTGGAAGAAATATAGATTATAAATTTTCGATCAGGCTAATAAGATTTCAAAAATAGCATATGTGTGTGTGTAGGAGTAAGACATGCTATGTTGAGGGTGTATTTAGGTTGGAAAAGTTTTAAATAAAAAATTAGATATAACAATGGGGGATATGCTTTCATCATCAGGATGACGGATATTGTAGTAATATATGAATATGGTATATGGGACAGTATTTTTAGCGCATATGCAAGTAGATCTTGAGTAGGTGTGGTTGTATTTAAAAAAAAAAGGTTTAAGGTTTCTAGAAGCAAATTACAATATTGGATGTTTTAGGCATGAAGGAAGTACAATAAAACAAGTAAGCAAAGGCTATAGTCGTGCGGGGCCGACTATATTATACCATACAACACTACAATATGTTAGAAGCCCCCTTATGTCCAAATCCATATTAGAAGATTTCGCTTCTGAAATTAGGATTTTAACTAGGGACATTTGCCCAATATTTATGCGCTCCGTCGGGCTGTAAGTTGTTGTGGTCCATTTTACAGCTTAATATAATCCAATGGTCATCCAAAATGCTAGAATTCTTTCCTGTCCTTAACTCTCTTCACAGGCGTGTCGATTGGCTTCAATTGTGTGATCGGGAAAACATTTCTTTTTTTGATTAATTTGAACCCCTAAATATTTTGCAATTATTTCCAAAAGCAAGAAACCGTTCTGCATCTACAAATTTAGACCCATCTATATTATTTGCTTGTCTACGATATTTGGCTATATTCGTCAACGAAATCAGCATAAAAAAGCCAGAAATTCGCCTTTTGTGTATTTCGGATATCGCATGTAAGTAATGCTGGTATTTTTTCACACAAAATTATTGGTCCATTCTACCCGCTGTTCTAAACTCTAACTTTATGCGAGATTTCGTGTCCTTTGGTTTCTATTTGTGACCTTTATAACGGCTGCAAAATCATGAAAATTTTAAGTTGTTGGTCCATTTAAACCCTTAATATATTGCGGATATCTTTGAAAATAAAAGCCCTTCTCCTGTGTCGTAAGGTGAAAAAATATTTCAAAGTATTATAAGTCAAATTGAAAAAATCGCATGCGATAAAAAATATGAAAAAAAAATGTCAAAAAAAAAATTACAAAATCTATATTAAGATCATTGTTGGTATATTTTTCTGCGCTTTTTTTAGATTTCATACTTTTATATCAAGAGGGCATTCTGAATTGACAAAATTGGTCAAAATCGGTCCAGCCATTCTTGAAATATAAGCATTCTAACTAACATCCCCTTCCTGTGAATATACACATTGTACATATTTCGTTATATATACCCGATATAAGTACTATCGGCATCTATGTAACGGTCAGAATTGACGTGTTCGTCTATTTGTGATTTCGCCGGGATTGAAAATATTCGCGGCCTTTTGGTCTTTTTTACCCACTAAATATTACCCGATGACCATCAAAATTGGAAAGCTTCTGCCCAGCCCTAACATCTAGCCCCATGCTAACTTCCGCTTTGATTGGTCGATAATTGCGACCTGTAGAGCAACTGCAAAATCAGGATTTTTTCAGTTTTTGGTCCATTTCAACCCCTAAATATTATGCGATCATCTCCAAAAGATATAGGGTTCTATTCTGACATTAACCGCACCTCCATTCTAAATTTCGTAAAGATCGGGCCATAATTGCGACCTGTAGAGTGATTACAAATTAACATGGACGGACGGACATACATAGCTAGATCGACTCATTTCGGCGAGATAGGAAGATCCATATATACTTTCCTATGTGGGAAACCAATATTTCGTGGTGTTACATAATTTTTGGCCCAATCAAACTTATAATACCCCCAACACATAGTGTTGTAGGGTATAAATACAGATAATAGAGCAATTTTTTAGTACCACAAAATTATTTGAACCATTAGAACCGAAATTGTTAGGACTCCATTATACCTGGGGATTCTAAATATTAAGCGATTTTTTAATATTTTGCAAAATTTAATAAATTCGTGGGCAATGTTTGTGTAATTCCCATTTTATGTGGATAAAAGGGAACAAGCTAATAAATATATTATTTTTTTTTAAAACTGAGCAAATTCCTTTATTTTCTCCAAATATCGTCAAACATGCTCTTGACTACTACCTGCTACTACCTGCGGACATTTGGTCAATTTTCATAAATTTTATGACCAGTTAGTTAAAGAATAACTTCAATTTCACTTTCGAAATGTGTAAAAATATTCTGATATTTTGTCAAGATAATGTTTAGACAATTAGCACGTCATATTTATTTCTAAAATGTGGACAATGTACAGAAATTATCAGCAAAAATGTACATATGTACGTACATGTCACATGTTGACACACATATTAAGTTTTATTGAATTAACGCTGAAGATTGCGTGAATGAAGGTGATAAAATGTGATAAAAAAAAACATTGTTTTTTTTATTTGTTGATAAGCCAAATTAAATGTGTAATGAAGCAGAACTACTGTTAATTGCGAGTGTTTAAAGAAGCAAATACATGTTGCGCTGGCACAAAAGCGGTTTATCTTAAACGCGTGTTAATAATGAGGCAATAAATGATATGTGCAAAAAATATGCGCACAGGAGTTAATTATCAGACTTATTGGATTTGGAGTCCATCTACAGCGTAGGAAGTAATTTTTGAAAAAGGTTTGTGACCACTTAGGGAAAGTATCTTCAGGACAGACTTCTTCTAAGTAAATATATTCAATCGATATTCCTGACTGCTATATTTCCTCAGCAAGTACATGGTGAGATGAAAAAACTGCAACCAACTTCATACTGCTGTCATTTCTAAGCCACTCGTCTGACTGCTGTTAAAATTATTCCAGTGACAGCCCATTATATTGTTTACAAGCGTATAAAAGCATTTTGGTGAGAATTTTCCAGAAAAAAAGTTATTCGTGATGGAGTTCTTTATATTTGGCTGGAAAACCACAAGTGGCTATCGTTAGATCACTCCAGCATTTAAATGTAAACAAGTCCTGTGTGTCTCGTGCCATCGCTCGTTACCGTGATACTGGCAGCGTAGCCCGGCCACAAGGAAGTGGACACAAGAAAACAGCAACATCAGCAGAAATGGTTCGAAAAGTAAAGAATCGACTTGATCGAAACTCGCGTCGCAGTGACCGAAAAATGGCTCGTGAGCTGAACATTTCGCAATATTCCATTTGGCAAATATTGAAAAATTAGCTAGGGGTACAGCCCTAGAAATTCCAAACAACGCAGTAGGTAGAAAATAAACTCAAAAGAGCTAAAGCGTTGATACGCTTGGCCGAAAGTGGTGAACTGCCGAATTTGGTTTTCTCCGATGAGAAAACATTCGTTGTCCAGCAGTTTGTAAACAAACAAAATGATCGTGTTTACTTACCAAAGAGGTCAGCGAAAATGTGCACCTTCGCTTGGCCACCAGAACTCAAGCGCCGGCCATATTGAGAGTGTGGGCCGCCATAACAGCCGATGGTCGCTCTTCGCTCGTATTAATCGACCGTGGCATCAGAATAAATCCTGAATATTATCTCGAAAATATTATGGAGGGTATATTAAAGACTTGGGCACTCAAACATTTTGGCCACTGACTCGCACCACCCAGGAATGGTTACAATGAAATGAAGCTTCCTCGCTTCATTTCCAGTGCACAATGGCCACCAAAATTTCCGGATACCAATCCGTTGGACTACTGGAGTATTTTGGAGAGCAAGGTTGGCTCTAAAAAAATACCAAAGTGTCGATTATCTCAAGCTAGCGCTTCGCCAGGAATTGGCCAAAATACTGCAGAGCAACATTCGGGCAGCGTGTGACGGTTCATTGGTTTCATTGGCCGTTGGAAGGCCATAATTCGTGCCAAAGGTGACCAATTTGAACAAATCTAAACTTATTCTAAAATTTGATGCTATTTCCGATATTTTTTGCTTTCATTCAATAAAATTTAAAAAAAAAAGAAAAAAATATGAACTTTGACTTTGTTGCAGTTTTTTTTTATCTCACCCGGTATAGAAATAACACAGCGGGGACGTAAGAAGGTTGGGTGGCTAGACCCTCTAAAATGTTTTTTGTGAAATGTTTTCTTGGTGCGCGACCAATTCGAAATTATTTCAAAACGCATTTATCTCTACGTTCCATTAATGCAGTGTAACCTTGAAGAATACTGAGGAATAATATCGAAGTTTATGAAATATATGATTGCACTGTGCGACCAATTCAATTTCGTCAATAATTACGGGAAAAATCCAGCCGAATATGAAAGATGTGCTAAAGTAAGTAAAAAGGCTATAAGTTCGATCAGGCCGAACTTTGAATTCCCTCCACCATTTGGAAAGAATTTGGCAAATTTTCAAAAAACAAAAAAAGATAAATAAATAAAAGAAAAAATCTGTTAAAAATTCTGTTGAAATCTTAAAACTAACGAATGTAGCTGTTATATTAGGATCTATACGACGACGTGGACCTGCATAGCAAACTTTTGTCATAACCCATTACAATTTTCAAATGCGAAACTTGAAAAAAAAAATCAGTTTATAATGTAGCTAAAATCATCAAAATATTGAATATAGGGAGGTACCATGGAGGTTATAAAACGTGGACCTGTACAAAAAATTTTCTGGCATAGGCTGTAGTATCTATTACGAACTTCAAACTCCAAATTTGAAACAATTCCGGTATATAATGTCGCTAAAATCATAAAAATACCGAATATCGGGAAGTACCGTTATATGGTGGCTATAGGAAGACCTGGACTTGCGCAAATAATTTTCTGTCTCGGGCTGTAGTATCTATTACGAACTTCAAATACGAAATTTGAAACATTAACGGTTAATAATGTAGCTTAAATCACAAAAAAACCGAAAAACGGAGGTAGCATTATATGGGGGCTATACCAAAACGTGGACCTAAACATTTGCAATACCAAAAGTCCTGCAGAAATAATACACATTTGATTTACGATTTTATTCTTTTTTGCCAAGAGTTGAGAA